TCTGTGCTGAAGATCCTTATGCATGGCCACTGATTGCATCTCAGTTTGTGGTTCAGGAATAGCAGCCTGCCTTATATCTAAATGAAAATCTAAAAACTCATCATGGCTAATATTTCATTACCTAAGCTGCCTGATTATCATTGACAATAAAATAAAAGGGTTATGATTGGAGTACAGTGAAAACAACTATCGGGAGTAGTTCATTACCTTTAATCACTTGGAGAAAAGCCTTTTATGACCTCTACTAAAGCCATGTTTTGTCTACTAATGTCAATATTGCACACACATACTGTGAAGTGAAATGCAGGTCGATATTCATGCAAAGCGGAAGGGCAATAAAAAAATTACTGAAATGCACGGAGTTATTCTGTCACTGCGGAAATAAATCTCTAGAGCATGCCTCTTGCTGCAAGGTCAACTATCATGGCTATAACCTTAGACAGGCCATATTGTTGCTTGACAAGGATGCCATGAGAGATGATTAAATATGTAAACGATTATGAAATGAGTAAAGGTAAGAGTGCAAAGGAGCACTGAAAACTGAGTAGCTAAGTAGAATAGTGTGTTTATCAAAGCACTTGAGCTTAGAAGGTTAAGAGTTACATCCCATTCAGAGCTGATTTAGACAGCCCCCCAAAAGCCACACGATAGAGTACATAAGTGATGTGCACACAGGCACTCTTGCATGCATACACACACACACACACACACACACACACACACACACACACGGATGCAGGAGAAATTCAATTCTGTTTGCATTTAATGATAAGTCCACATTTATTGAACCAATACAAAGAGAAAAAAGAGAAAGTAGCAATAATAATAATAAAAAATAGTTCACCCTCTGCTTGCATAGAAAATCTCCTATTGTTCCCATGGATGGACTGAAGAGACGATTTGGGCGATGGCTCATTGCTAGGGCACCCCTACATGGGTTTTAGAAAGATACCCACTCCCGACCAATTCCCCCGTCCCACTCTCCACCATGCTCAATGCTCATGAGGTGCCACAGCTGCCAATCGGGTAGGTTGCCAAGCTATTGTCCCTTTGTTCCAGCCTATTGGCAGGTGGTACTAAGGATACTTGCTTTGCCCCGTGCACTGCCAATCCATGCTACGTCACTGAAACTTGCCACCTTTTATTGAGGGGATCTGCCTGAGGCGACCCAACTCAGCCTTTGCCTCCTTCTTTGCCCTCCACTCCAAGTTGGCTCAAATCAAGTTGTGAAATTAGGTCCTTCATGTATTTTTAAACAGATGCTCATTTTATGCTTCTTTCCTTGTATTCTGTGTAGGCACAGCCTTGAAAATGATGAGTGGTTGCTGTTGAATCTGGGAGGTGCTGATTATGCCGAACAACCCTCCCAGACATTTTGCAGATGTAATGCATATTGATAACTCTGCACTGAGCATGTGATGGTTCCCCACACTACAAATGCTGTATTAGGAGTTGTATATACTGTGGGTGGTGCTGTGGTCTAAACCACTGAGCCTCTTGGTTTTGCCAATTGGAAGTTTGGCTGTTCAAATCTGAACCTGCGACGGGGTGAGCTCCCGTTGTTCGGTCCCATCTCCTGCCAACCTAGCAGTTTGAAAGCACACCAGTGCAAGTAGATAAATAGGTACCGTTGCGGTGGGAAGGTAAACAGCATTTCTGTGTGCTCTGGTTTCCTTCACAGTATCGCCTTTGACTGGACTTAACCATCCAGTGGTCTTTTACCCTTTTTTGTGTATATACTGTATGAAAAGATAGGAAAACATTTTTTTTTTACTGGGGTTGAACCACTGTGCATAACATATGGCTACCCTCAGATGTATTTCTTTAAACAGTGGGTTCACTTTTCTCATGTCCTGACCTTTAAAAAGTCTCTAGGCTGCCCAGTAAAAGATGCTATAGAAGCAGTGAGCTATGATTCCACTCATCAGCTTCCGGCGCTGACACTAGCTCATAGGCTGTGTACCCTTGCTATATATCAAGTTGACTATTTATACCACCCACAAGAGGCTGATGAGGGTCGTCTGCATGATTTACCTTATCTGTCATGGTGTGCCTCTTCCATTCTTGCAAAGCCTCCCGCTGGCCTTATAAACAGAAAAGATGACTACTCTGTAATAGACATAATTAATGCACCCAGGAACGATGGTGAAACAAATTTGTCTCTCTGTGTGAAAAAAAGATTTCTGTAATGCCTAATACTCAAGCATAACAATGGAAGTGTGTTCTTTGTTTGGCATGTTGGCACATTCCTTACATTTATTACCTTGAGTTTTTATTTATTTCATTTTATAGATCACCCTCTCTTGAAGGCGCAAAGTAATGGGAAAGGAGAAAAACTGATTTTCAATATTCTGATCATAGCTCTATGCTGCTGCTGCTGTTTCGTACCTGCTCTTCATCATAAGGTTCCAACAGGACTGCTACAGTATAAAGCTAAATATTAAAAATCAGTTAAAACAATCTAAAACCCTAAGAAGATGGTAAAGGTTATGGAGGGTGGGTCCCAATATCTCATAGTTTGCATGATGTCAGGGTAGGGACAGAGGCACACCTCTGCCCTTCCTTGTCCACGTCAACATTCTGTGCATGGACAAAAAAATGTGAAAAGTGCTACAATCTTCCATGTTTGTTCCTCTGTGCCCTGCATAGTATGATTTCTGGGGGAGAATATATACTATGTATTGCATTATTCGCTAATTCCACCTGCCATAATGGGAGCTCTATAACATTTCCCATGCAAGAATAACACTTGAAAGGGCTACATTACATCAATTCACATTGTGAGGGTTCGCTGTCCTTTTTTAAGGGTATATTGAGTGCTTTTGAATTGGAGACAGGATGTATGTAACACATTGGAAAACAAATGTCTAAGACCAGATCTTAGAACTTAGTGGAGGGGAAGAGGAAAGGAATGCGCTACCGGCTGATAATTCTTCAGAAGTGAAACATTTCTTAAAATGTGTATTTCAGAGACATGGAAGAATGTGAGAGATTCCCATTCTACAGCTCCAACAACTTGAAAAGAATGATGCTAAATAGCTCCTGTGGCTTAAATGTTTCCTTAGTTTAAAGTTGTTGTTGTTGTTTAGTCGTTTAGTCGTGTCCGACTCTTTGTGACCTCATGGACCAGAGCACGCCAGGCACTCCTGTCTTCCACTGCCTCCCACAGTTTAGTCAAACTCATGCTGGTAGCTTCGAGAACACTATCCAACCATCTCGTCCTCTGTCGTCCCCTTCTCCCTGTGCCCTCCATCTTTCCCAACATCAGGGTCTTTTCCAGGGAGTCTTCTCTTCTCATGAGGTGGCCAAAGTATTGGAGTCTCAGCTTCAGGACCTGTCCTTCCAGTGAGCACTCAGGGCTGATTTCCTTAAGAGTGGATAGGTTTGATCTTCTTGCAGTCCATGAGACTTTCAAGAGTCTTCTCCAGCACCATAATTCAAAAGCATCAATTCTTTGGCGATCAGCCTTCTTTATGGTCCAGCTCTCACTTCCATACATCACTACTGAGAATACCATGGCTTTAACTATACGGACCTTTGTTGGCAAGATGATGTTAGTTTAAAGTAGAGGTAGGTTAAAAAAATGTTTCAATTTTCAGGTGAAAACTAATGATGTTGACTGGGTAGACAATTTCCCTTTTTAGAATACATGACATTGATTGAAAATTTATATTTTTTAAATATTTGGTGCTATTTTGTCCTGGTTTTTTTAATTAAAAAGTTGCTTGCTTTTTTCTTAGCACTATCTCCATGCCCCCATGTCTCCTGCTTCTTTTGGTATGAGCTACCTGGGTGATCTCACCAAGAGAAAATGACATCACAATACCAAGTAACCAATCAGAGTTGCCTCTGTATTGTCACTGATGACAATGGATAGTGAAGGCAAGTGAGGACTAGTGAAATCAGATAAACAGCTTTGCAAAGTGTGATTGAATATCCCAGGGTGGGGGTATGTTTTCTGAAAACTGTGATTGCTTTCATCTCATCTCTACATATGGGTGTTATTCAAATTCAAATGCAACTTTCCTCCCATTTTCCCACTGCAATTCATCCAGATCTTTTGAGGTAGTTGCTTTTCCGAAAACACAGAATGCCAACAGGATGCTAACAGGCTAGACAGCTGCGAGAGAGCTAATGCTTGAAAGCTTGCCATGGCAATGTGTTCTACAATGAAGCTGATGAGGAACATACTGGCAGATATATATTTTTTGTCTCACATAAGAAAACTGACTTTTGCATTTGTGAGGAAAAGATGCAAATGTCAGGCATTAATGATAACCGGTGTACGATGCTATGGTCCAGTAGCTGCTGGTACTTAATTTCAACAAAATCACAGTCCTCTCTCAACCTTTTCCCATGTAGTTGTGTAAACATGACAGTAACTTTAAATCTTGTTGACAACTACTTCCTTACCTGTCAGCAAGCAGTCAGCTGCAGTTCAAATGGTGCTGTATCGGAAAGCATCTTGCAACCCGCACCCACCACCTTGAGCCAAGACTAGTAATTTGGGATACTGCTGAATGCTGGGTCAAAACATGTCACAGCTTTACAAGCAGCTAAACAATTAAAATGATGGTGGTAGCAAAAAAAGAGAAAATTTGCTGTAAACAAATGTTTCCGCTGGTTTGGGGATTTTTGGGTGAGTGTCAGTTCATACGGCTGTTTTGGAGTTTTTTTTATCATCAGTAAAAATGAGATATAGGTAGTAACCCATTCGAAAGATGTCTTCAGTGTAGTGTGGAAAGTAAATCTAAATAAATAGTCTTTGGGTGGATTCAGACAACTGGGAGCTATACAGTTGCTGCTTAAAAGTCTGTGGTCTCAGACCATGAAATTAAGCCTAGAGTCCCTTGCAGATGCTCAAAAATCATAGAGGGTGTTTTGTGTCTTTGTGTGTGTGCTGGGCAGATAATGCTTGGCTTAACCATATGGCAGGAGGTGACAGAAGGGTAATCATCTAAGTCTGTTCTAGAAAAAAGGCGGAAATATCCTGTGCCACCACCTGTCTAGCTCAGTCGGTAGAGCACAAGGCTCTTAATTTCAGGGTTGTGGGTTCAAGCGCCACGTTGGGCAAAAGATACCTGCATCACAGAGGGTTGGAATAGATGACCTTCAGGATCACTTCCAACTCTACAATTCTATGATTCTAGATAAATGGAGGTTTAGTTCAATGGGAGATGTTTGCACAGAGTTACATCAGCATGGGACTTAATAGTAAACTGGTGTTAGTGGTGCGGTTGAAGGTGAAGCAATATGTTATATAGTCTCCACAGCTGTTAAATCAGCTTTAACAATATGCATTCTCGGCCTCTGATTTTCTTTTCTTTTCTTTTTTTTAAACCCTTTCCCTTTCTGTAAACAAGAAATAAGATGAAAGTGACAAATTCTCATTTTGACTGTTGTGCCCTTCTTTGCTTTAATATGTCCCCTTATTAGGCAATTTCAGCCACAATGGCATACTTGCTTTCCAGCTTCTGATATAGAATAATATCCGCTTGGTAGCGTTGGCAGTTTCCTAATTCTATTTCAGTGCCCCAGAGAAGCATATTGCATTGTAAGTGCCAACTGGGCATTGGCATCTGGAATTCCTTGCGCTAAATGAAGGAAAACATTAGCAATTTGATTAGTGGGATCTGACTGCTCTCCTTAAATATTACAGCCTGTTCAAAAAAACAGAAGTGGCATAGAACAAATAGACAGAGCAGATGTGAGGCAGCATCTGAACTGGGAGGCTGCCAACTGATCAATTCCACCAAGGGTTGATTATCTAACCAGAAACACATTTTGTTGATACTTAGATTTCGTCCCCCAAGAATAACTTCTGCCAATGTTGGAAACCTCTCCGAAAATGGGATACTCATAACCAGTGCTGCTCCAGGTAAAGGCAGCGTAGTGAGCATTGTTTTTCAGGGAAAGCTTTCCCTTACATGTACCTTATCTGCAAAAACATATTACCTGCCTTTACGCCAATGAAAAGTAGCAGAAGTGGAACAAAAGGGCAGGTGTGTGTAAGAAAGGGAGATTAAAATAGCATTGGAAAGAACAGGCTCAATGCATTTTGAGATGGCATTTCCAATTATGGCTTGGTTTTGTTTTAATCGTGATCCCCCAAACAGTACTTAAAAGCTATAATAAGGGATAAGGATCCTGTGGTTGTTCAGATGTCATTGGGTTCCAACCTCCAGCATCCCTGATCATTGACTATGCTGACTCATGGAAGCTCATGGAAGCTGAAGTTCCAACAACTTCTGGAAGGCCACTTATTCTGTATATGGTGTCACTTATTAGAACACTGGGGCCATCCACACTTACATATGTCCCATGATTTCAAGTCACGGGTCCCACAGGTTTTTTCTTTTCTTCTGATGCTTTCCCTCTAATGCTATTCTAGGCTGCATCAACAGAAGTATAGTATTCAGATCAAGGGAAGTAATAGTACCGCTCTATTCTGTCTTGGTCAGAACACGCCTGGAATACTGTGTCCAGTTCTGGGCAGCACAGTTTAAGAAGGATGTTGACAAGCTGGAATGTGTGCAGAGGAGGGCAACCAAGATGATGAAGAAGGGTCTGGAAACCAAGCCTTATGAGGAATGGTTGAAGGAGCTGGGTATGTTTAGCCTGGAAAAAAGGAAACTGAGAGGAGATATGATAACCACCTGCAAATATCTCAAAGGCTGTCACATGGAACAAGCTTGTTTTCTCTTGCACTGGAGGATAGGATTCGAACCAATAGCTTTGAGTTACAAGAATGCAGATTCCGATGAAACATCAGGATTGCCATGGAAGGTAATAGATAAATGCAAAACTGGTACCTACTCAATTATTCTCCAAATTAAAATAGCCAGATTTGGCTAGCATCATCTCTATTAGGAAAAAAACATACCAGCTGAACTGTGTTTTGCACAAGAGCTGGCAATGGGAGTATTGAGTGAGCGCTTATAGCAGTAGCTCTTTCAGTATTAGCGCTAATAACTTGAAAAGTTTCAAAATCAGCTGACTGGGCTGAAACATTTCTTCCACTTTATAGTAATGAAAAACCGAGCAGTTAGTTTACTTTATATACTTTACATCCATCTATGGAGTGTTTGTTGCTTGTGCTCCCTTTCAGCATTTAAAACACTGCTTCCCAATGCTTTGCTCTATGTAGCTTTATAACATAAAAGCAATAAATACTGTACTTTGGCGCAGAGTGGATTGGGAGGGCTCCGGTAATGGGTATTTAGGCAATTCATTGTCATAGGCAGATTACTTGCTGGTGAAGTTTGGATTGGCAGCAGGAACTCCTCCTTGCAGAGATAGGAGACCCATTAAGAGGGTCCACCTCTAAAGACTTAAGGAACTGGAGAGATTCTTAGATGCTCTGGTAGATTTCTGGTTGGCTTGTCTGGCACTTTGGACAAGGCCCAAGTCTGCCTGTGGAATGGGGAGGTGGAGAGGACCATTGGCACAACAGTTCCTAAGTGCTCGCTCCAGCACTGCACAGCTCAGATAGCTTCCTGGTCTTGAGAGTTTTCCTGGTCTTCTTGAGAGTTTTTGGGCCTGGTGATGGATCCCAGATGGCACAAGTCCTGTAACCAATACAACCAAACCCAGGGGAGACCACCAAATGGCGCCTACAGTGCAGAGGTGGCAGCAACAAAGAATACTTACTTCTACACCAGCATGTTGTCTTCTAGTTGATGTCCAGCCAAGCTTTAGGGGTTGGTGAATGGCTCGGTCAAATCCACCCCACAGAGTGGAACAACTGAACCCTCCCATGCCTGCTGTAATAGATTTGCTAAGGATTTGGTGGGCATAGTTCCTCTCATTCACACAGTTTCTCTGGGTTTCAAGCTTTACCACAGTACAGTGGTACCTCGGGTTACAGATGCTTCAGGTTACAGACGCTTCAAGAAGAAGAAGAAGAGTTTGGATTTGATATCCCGCCTTTCACTCCCCTTCAGGAGTCTCAAAGCGGCTTTCCTTTCCCTTCCTCCCCCACAACAAACACTCTGTGAGGTGAGTGGGGCTGAGAGACTTCAAAGAAGTGTGACTGGCCCAAGGTCACCCAGCAGCTGCATGTGGAGGAGCGGAGACGCGAACCCAGTTCCCCAGATTACGAGACTACTGCTCTTAACCACTACACCACACTGGCTCTCAAGTTACAGACTCCGCTAACCCAGAAATACCTTGGGTTAAGAACTTTGCTTCAGGATGAGAACCGAAATTGCACAGCAGCGGTGCGGTGGCAGCAGGAGGCCCCATTAGCTAAAGGGTGCCCTAGGTTAAGTACAGTTTCAGGTTAAGAACAGACCTCCGGAACGAATTAAGTTCTTAACCTGAGGTACCACCGTAGTGAAAAATAAAATTATGGGGAGGGTGCAGCTACCACAGAAATCTTGCCATGTCCATAGACCATCAAAGGACAAGTGGACCATACGATTCAAGTGAGCTGAGCTATGCTGAGAGACAATGTGTGAAAAGACAAATTCCAATCCCGGGGGAGGGGGGAATCTGTGTAGTCATGACTCCAATTTAGTCATTGAACCAGGCAATCGGGCACAACAAAATCTAAGTGTCCATTTGGTAACAAACTAGGATCATGTCAAGTGGCAGCAATGTTGTTTTTGACTCCAGTGGCTTCTTCTTTGTAAGACAAGCTCAACATGAAGAACACAAAATAATGGACTGGTTGGTTGGCATGGGGTTGAACCAGTACTTTTTTAAAAGACCATATTTTGGAGTGTGTCTTGCAAAACAGCTGCTGGAAGTCCTCAGTCACCTTGGCCTTTTGGACAGCTGCTGCCACTTCGTTGCCTCTCTTTGCCAGCCGTTCTCTTTCAACCTGAAGCGAGAAAAGCGGCCAATATTCAATGCTACAGTTTAAAACACTGGCTGTGTGAAGAAATACTTTGAAGGTGAAGCAGCCCGGTTACCTCTCAGGGTACAAAGAAGCCACGTAGCCCTTGCTGAGATCTCTAAGGCTACTTTCACGCGGCGTGAGGAGCAGCAATCCATACATATATATCAGAAAGAAAGAGAAGGAGGGAGGGAACAAAAATACAAGCACAACAGGATAGCAATGCTTAGCTGACCAAGTTGGTAAGATTTCTTTTTCTGATCAACAAAAATGTAAGCTAAATTAAATGGGCATCAGCTTGGTTTTTTTTATTAAAAAATAATTTTACAAATATAAAAACATGTACAAAAGTGCATATGTGGCAGATGCCATCTTAGAAGAGATATTCATACATCCCTTTGTCCTTTCCAAAAAGGCGGCCTGATGGCTGCATGGGGAGTGCTATTGTTTTTGTTTCTTTCTATGTTATACCTTTTTGTGTTTTTATGTTGTAAACAGCCTTGTGATCCTTGGATAAAGGGAAGTATGGAAATTTAATTCATCATCATCATCATCTTTAAAAATGAAGAATGCTCACCCCTCACCCCCCTCCCGAGCAATTGTTTATTTATATGTGGTATGTTTGTGTCTGTGTGCAGAACATACCATTACCTATACAGTGGTACCTCTGGTTAAGTATTTAATTCGTTCTGGAGGTCCGTTCTTAACCTGAAACTGTTCTTAACCTGAAGCACCACTTTAGCTAATGGGGCCTCCCGCTGCTGCCGTGCCGCCGGAGCACGATTTCTGTTCTTATCCTCAAGCAAAGTTCTTAACCTGAAGCACTATTTCTGGGTTAGCAGAGTGTGTAACCTGAAGCATATTTATCCTGAGGTACCACTGTAATCAAGATTTCATTCATTGAGCAGCAGGTAATCTATCTACCTAGCTAGCTATGGGTAGATATTCTAAAATAGACTGCAGGTGTCTGTACAATCTAACATTCACCATTTGTGTATTTTTAAGGCAGCTGTTTGGAGGAGGGATGAGAACACACCGTGAGTCTGTTAATCTTGTCAGGCTACTTCACAGCTGAACTCTGAGCGGACAGAATATTCATTGGAGGGCGAAACATTGCACTTGCAAAACAAGCTTACCATGTTGGGAGGGTAAGAATTGAAGGCAGATGAGCTGCCTTTTCCAGGGTCAGAGCTCAAATATTGGAAAGGGAAGGGTCCTGGTCTGGTGCGTCAAC